GAAAAGATACACAATTTACAAGAGTTAGATTTGTTAGTGCCTTACATCAGTGGTTCCCAGACTTCAGTGCACATAAAAACGGCCTGCGGGACTTGTTCAAAGGCAGATTGCTGGGTCTGACCCTCCATGTTTCTCAGACTGAGTATGGGACCTGAGAATCTGCACTTCTTACTAGTGCCCAGGTGCTGCTGCTGCTGGCCTGGGGACCACACTCACAGAAGTGGTGCTTCAGATCAATGGCTAAAACCTGCTTAGAACATATGAAGGAAACTGACACCATAGGTGTATGCTCAAGTCATAGCCCAGGCAAGATGTGACGGACGGCACAATCTTCAGAAAGTCTTGTTTTTCTTTTCTCTTTAACTTTTTACTTTGAGATAATTTTAGACTCATAGTCACATTGTAAAAATAGTAGAGTTCCCATATATCCTTTACCCAACTTGCCCTTATGTTAACATCTTACATAAGCACAGAGCAATCAGCAAAACTAAGAAGCTAACCTTGGGCTAACACTATTAGCTAGACGACAAAATTAAGTGGACTTCACTCTCCCCACTTTTTTTAATGTCCTTTTTATGTTTCAGGATCCGACTGAGGATCCCAAATCGCATTTAGTTCCAAGATCTAACTCAAAATGCACTTATTTGTGATGTTTCCTCTGTCTCTTCCGGTCTATAGAAATTTACCAGTCTTATCCTGCATGATCTTGAGCCTCAAAGAGCACTTGTCAGTTGTTCTCTTGAAGGTCCCTCAATTTGGGTTTATCGATGTTTTTGTCATAATTAGACGGAAGTTATGCCTCATGACAAAGCATACCAGACAGATGCAGGGCCCTTCTCACGCAGCTTATGAGAGCACAGGATGCTTGTATGTTCTACTGTGACGTGTACTTTGGTCACTTCGTTAACATGGTGTCTGTCAGAGTTCTCCACTGTTGTTATTTTTCTCTTTGTAGTTACCAAATATTTTAGTGGCAATCGTTTGAGACTAAAAACATCCTGTATTTGTTTAAACTTTTACATCACTAATTTTAGCAATAGTGGATCTTGTTGTGGCAATTATTACTTGAATATTACTTACACACACACACACACACACACTCAGGTCATCATGTGCAAACTGCAAGAAACAAAAAAACCAAGTGAAAATCTTAGAGCCAGCTAGAGAAAAAAGGAACATTACATTTCTCATCAGAAGCCATATAAATCAGAAGACAGGGGTTTAACAGCATTAAAGTGCTGGGGGAAAATTTTGTTTTAACCTGTCAAAACAGAATTATGAATCCATAAAAAGTGTCTTTCAGAAATGGAGAAGAAACAAGGACAATCTCCGACAAACACACACTGAGGGAATTCGTTGCCAGCAACTTTGCCCTACAAGAAATATTAAAGACAGTTCCTTAATATTTTAAAACAATGGGGGAGAAGGAAAAACTCTTCCATGCAGAAGAATTGCAGTTAGTAAACACAGAAGGAGTTAGGAAAATGGAGAATGATCATTAGAGCACAAAGCAAATAACTTCAAGCCTCCTTCTCAAACCACTGTCAACCAGTTCACTCCAGTTAACTTGTACACAGAATAAGATCATTATTTATCCTCTCACTGCAGAAAAGATCAAGGGTACTTTGAAAATCAGTGTCTTCCCATTTCACAATGTGGTTTATGGAGTTCAAAATATTACAATTATGAATGGCTAAGTCTTAAAATCATGAAATGTTGGCAAGATAGAAGATATCGCAAACCACTTCCTATTTTGAACATTTTAATTGGCTCAGCTGATACCAACATGAAAGGACTCTAGAACAGATATAAAGACTGTGGGGTTTTGGTACAAAACGCCCACGGAGACTGAGAGCATTTAGAAATCGAGAAGAACCATTATTGTCACACAGTGAGGGAGGTGCTGGGTGCCAGGGGCAGGAGGAAAGCAAAAGCTTCCCCTTTGGGATGTTTTGTCATTTGTCCCCCCAACCCCATTCCTGTAGCCCAGCAGGTAAGTCAACAGCATCCATTCCTGTGCAGTCCTGGGGGTCCCCAAAGCCTTCCCTGAGGATCGCCTCATTTGATCCTCTCAATGACTTGTGAGGAGCCAGCATTAGCTTTCCACATCAGAGATGCAGAGGGGCTGGGGCTCAGCGGGCTTGACTTGCCCACACTCTCCCCCACTGGATTTCAAGAGCTGTCCTTCACGGTGCACTTGATCTCAGCAGCGGTGCTGTACTGACCTATATGTATTCTGTTGCCCCAAATGTGGGATGTATGCCAGTGATTTGGATGGAATGTGGAACAATTTTAGGGGCCCTCGGGTGTGGAATGAATTAACATTAAATCACTTGGTGAGAAAGTGATTCCCTTTCAATTCTCTTCCAGTCCTTTTGGTTATATTACAGAGAATTCCTCTAATACTGTGTGTCGTTATTACCTGCCTTACACCTTCTAATCTCTCTGGGTGTGGAGGTGGATGTTGTGGGTGTGTGTTATTGTACTGGAGATTGAACCCAGGGATGCTCAACCACTGAGCCATATCCCAGCACTTTTAAAAATTTACGTTGAGACAGGATCTCACCAACTTGCCCAGGCTGGGCTTGAACTTGTGATCCTCTTGCCCCAGCCTCCAGAGTAGCTACGATTACAAATATGTGCCACCACACCAGTTGCTCTCTGTTTTTAATAAAGTGAGAAAAAGCCTAGGTTCAGAGCCTTTTCTAGGATACAGGATCTGGCTAGAATTAGTGACCCACCTTGATCTTCATTTTGTCAATTCTCAAGTTACTATATTTCCCATTTGTGGCAAGTGATAAGAGTCTTTGATTTAGTGTGACTAGGTCCCTTTTCTAAAACAAAACTAATTAAAAACTTGATAAAATGTCGAGAAGACGCAGTAGCATTCAGGCATGGCACAACTTGGGCAAATGGCATGGGACCATGGTCACAAGAGAAACACGAAAGGCCAGGTCACATTTATGCATCTTAGAGAGCTCCGAGGCTGCCCAGCTGTGAGCCCAGCCACGTGTGCAGGATGAGCACCTCCCAGAGGGCAGGTCAATGGGGAGACTCTGGCTCCAACGCACAGGAGCCTGGACACACCACGAAACCCTCTGTGAAGTCACTTTCCTCTCGGCCAGGAAGCTGCCTCCCATGGAGAGGCCAGAGGGTGACAGATCAGAGGACAGAAAAGAGAACCGGTGAGGAGGGCTGGGAGCACACTGAGTGGGGACAAGAGTGACAGGAGAAAACAGAAGCAGATGTTCCTTCTGTATAGGACGTCAGGACTCTCATCGCCCAGGAAGATGCACACGTGTGCACAACACCTGCTTTCTTCCATACTCAGGTATGCACCTGGAGCGATATTAGGGGACTAGTGAGTTCCAGGTTTTGAACTGCAGCTTTGACCGTTACTATCTAGAAATGTCCTTCTTGACCAGTCCATGCCCAAGAGTAACTATAGAGAGACTTCACTAAAGAAGGATTCTTAGTTTTGCAATTTTTTTGTAAGTTCCTCTCATTTTTCCATCCACTCATCCATCTACCATCCATCTTTCCTTCCATCCATCCATCCATCCATCCACCCGTCATAAAACACTGCACTTTTCTTCCTACACTGATTTTCAGATGTGTCCACTAGGGACCCCTGACTCAGAGAAGAGGAGAACAGACTTGCTTTCTGAGACCCTAGGAAGATTCTCGGGAAATGTAAACTCAGTTTAAAAATTTTAGCATAAAAGTGTATGCCAGTTTTGGATCCTACTTATAAAAGTCTATGTGCTTTGATGTAATATCTCTGTAAAATCCTTTGTAAAGCTGACCCTGTCAGATTAACCTCGTTTACACTGCTGTGCCTTGGCTTCCTGGCACAGGGCCAAGATCACTGGTGACTCACACTGAGATGCTTCATGCCATCCCTGGACCAGGAACACGGAGACCTAGAAACCCCTATGGGTCAGGCCCCAGCTGCTGTCAGTGCAGAGCCCAGGCACAGCTTGGTCTGTGCTCAGAGATTCCTGATGAGGGTTCTGCAGCTGCAGCGCCTCTGGGAAGTTCCCCTTTAAGCAAGTGATGATTTAAAATCTCTGCTCTGTAGCCACATAACCCCAAGTTCAAAGTCAATGTTGCCACTTACCAGACTTCTACTATTGTAAAGAAAATAGCTGGTTTTGCAAACTGGTAGAAAAAGCAACTCAGCCTACAGAGGGAGTGGGAGGGAGGATGGGGCTGTGTGGAGTGGCCAAGAACCTAGGTGGCCTGGATTCCTTCCCCACCTGCACACCACCACCCTAAGACCACAGACAGGGAGCAGTCCCTTATGCCCCTGTTTCCTTGGGTTGAAAACAAGCAGGTTGGAGGAGATGGCTGCCAATGGTCCTCCAAGCTCACTAGTGCTCTGCTCAACCTTCCCGTTTCACCAGGCTTTGATTTCCAGCCTGGTATCCCTTACCAGCCCATCTCTCCAGATCACTTCTCAAAGCACAGCGGGTACCCGCTCTTATCTTGTAAAAGCAACAGCTATCAACTGGCATCTCCTGAAGTGTTCTCTGCTGCATCTAGGAAGGTTAAAAGTCTCGTTCCTAGTATGGATTGTTTTTATAAATTATTTTTTTTAGATGCTGATGAACCTTTATTTTATTCATTTATTTGTATGTGGTGCTGAGAATCGAACCCAGTGTCTCACACATGCTAGGCAAGCACTCTACCTCTGAGCCACAGACCCAGGCCCTAGTATGGATGTTTTAACTGCATGGAAGGATAATACAACTAGACCTGCTACAGTCTCAGAAGGCCGAACTGCAACGAGTTAGACAAGAAAAGCCAAATTTCATTATTGGGCCTTGAATGTTTCTCCAGCCAAGACTCTCTAAGAAGATGATCATATCCCTAAGGCCAATTTCCTGTTCCCTTTTTCCCCTGAGTGCAACAAATGTCTATTTAATTAAGCACGTCCCCTCTGCTCTTCACAATGAGGACCCATGGAATCTTAGTTAATAAAATGAGAATTTATTAAATTTTCAGTTCTAATAAATAGTCAGTCATCATCTCTGCAGTGGGCCCCAAGCCCTGGTAAAAATGAAATGATCTAAGTGACCATTCAAAGAGAAAAGGTTAAAGTGTGTTCTTCAGTTACAAAAGTGACTTTCTCTCCTGTCCCCCTCCATCTTGAGGCAGTTTAAACACCTGAAACCAAATTCAGTTTTCTTATCACACTGAGGTCTCAAAGACACCTTAGCCAAACATTCTAGTCTTCAACAGAAAAGGAAAACAAAATAGAAAAACAAAAACAAAAACAAAAAACCCTAAGAAGCGTGCAGAAAGAGTAGACTAGTTATTCTCCCTATTCATGGAACCATTGATAAATCTGCTTGGAAGGATGCCCCGCCCCCAATCCCTCCAAAACAAAAAACCAAACCAAACCACCATAGCCCTGGAACGTTCTGGAACATTCCTTTCCCTTTTCTTGAAGGGGCTAGGTGAGGCAGAGAATGTCTCCTTTCAGTGTTCTAGGGAAAGAACTAGAGTCTTGCAGGTTTTCATTTCTAAATGAAACAGTGGAGGGGGGGGGGGTTGCAGGGAGAATCAGGCTCATAGTCAACCTATTTCCCTTGGGCAGTTAAAACTTGGGAGAAAGATAAGTGACAATACAGTGTCTTCTGTTGCTTCTGTGATTCATTTAGAAAAGATTGGATTTAAACAGGATGGGTAAAGGTAAGGAGTCAGGCATGGGACTTCCAGTCCCCCCAGCCCTGGACGGTGGTTCTTGTTGGGGCCAAGGTCAGATTTCCAAAGGTGGGCCTGGGGGACCGGATGGGAAGGGGCCCGGGGTGGCCGTGGAGGGCCAGCGTCTCCTGCTCCAGTCCCCGCCAGGCCTCGCGCCCGGCAGCGCCCCGTCCTCTACCTGTCCCCGCTGGTCTCTGCCAACCTGTTGTTCATGATGGCGAAGGCGCCCACCCCGCCCGAGAACTCGTCCTCCTGGGACGGCGTGCCGGCCTGGTGCGGGCCGCCGTTGGCCATCTCGGACAGCTGCTTCTGCAGGATGGCCAGCGACACCTTGCTGGAGTCCTTCATGGAGATCATCTCCCCCGAGAGCCGCCGCCCGTCCGTGTCGCTGTCCGCCACGCCGTCCGTCTCGGTGGAGATGTCGCCCGGCGGGTGGCGGACGTTGCCCGGCGTGACCGCGTTCCTGCGCGACCGCGCCAGTCTGCGGTGGCACGGCTGGACGCAGCGGCCGTCCACCTTCCTGAGGATCCAGTTCACCGTCTGCTTGATGAGGATGGAGATGACGTTGAAGAGCGAGTAGATGCAGCACACGCCCGTGAGGATGAAGACGAAGTTGGCCAGGCGGTAGAGGCCCTGGCTCTCGTACTGGGCGCCCTGGCTGCTGACCAGGTCCCCGAAGCCGATGGTGCTGAAGGCCACGAAGCAGAAGTAGAGCGAGTCGAAGTAGCTCCAGCCCTCCATGGGCGCGTACACGGCCGACGCCCCGCAGGACACGAGCACCGAGGCCGAGCACAGGATGAGCATCACGTAGTACACCGAGGGCTTCCAGCCGGCCAGGCTGTCCGCGCCCCGGCCCGCCGCCTTGAGGCTGCCCGCCGGCAGCGCCCCGCGCCTGCGCAGCTGCCGCTGGTGGCACGACCGCATGATGTAGGCGATGACCGTGATCAGCCGCTCCAGGAAGAGGTTGAAGAACAAGATGGTGCTGGCGCAGCCGATGAGGCCGTAGAAGATCAGAAAGATCTTTCCTCCTACGGTCGCCGGAGTGGTCATCCCAAACCCTGAAGGACACAAAAATCAGAGGAGAGAAGGGTGAGAGGGGTCTTGTCTGAGAATGGGGTCAGGGTCTTGGCGTGGATGGCTGGCAGAGGACCCAAAGGAACCCTCTGAGCAAACCGCAGCCTCCTAGCCTTTCTAGGAACCAGCAGGAGAGTGCTGGCCTCCTTTGGAAGAGGCTGAGCTTGGTTCCGAGCACAGAGCTGGGCTGCTGCACATCCAGGCCGGGCAACTGTGCCAGCAGAAAAAGGCACCTCTTGCTCAGGGTGGATACAGCCAGCAAGAAATGGCTTGGTGATGACACTGTGGGCTGGACTTCAGCCCCCTCTCCCCCACTTCGTTAGATGGCCTTGTACAGTAGGAACCTGAACATCCACACCCATCAGGCCTTGTCCCTAGAGATAAGCAAATGTTCACACACAGAAAAGGCTTATGGAGACTCGTCAGAAGTCATTTATTCTACAAACACTTGCAGAGCTGGAGATGGAACTGTGGGCCAGACAGATCTGGCCCCTGCGCTTCAGTGAGCATACACTGTGTGGTGGGTCTTGTGCTGAAGGACTACAGGGCTCTGTGGGAGCTGCTATGAGGACGTCCCATCTCCGGCTTGGGGTTCTGGAAAGATTACACAGGCAGTTAGGCAGACAGGAGAGGGCACGTGTGAGCGCAGGGGATGGTTCCCACAGAGAAACACCAGGCACCAGCAAAGGCAGAAATGAGAAATTTGCTCAGGATTTTCCCATCTTTTAAACAAAGCCCTTTGACTCACACCTTATGTTCTTGGGGTGCTGAGAGAGGCACCGGGTGTTATAGTTCGATGAAATACACAATCTCCCTCTCGCCTTTGCCTCTTGCCATGCTAGTTCCACCTTCTTGACTTTGCTACCTGGGCACACAGGTGTGCAGCTAAGAACAGGCATCGAGTGGGACAATGAGCATGGTTAGGAACAACAGAATCAGAGAGAGGGCGGTGACACGCAGCCCTTCCACTCGTGGCAGCGAGGGCCAGCCCACCTTACTGGAGGGACATGGGCTCCTTCCCACCAGCGACGAAATTCAACACAGAGAAGGCTGCTTTGTGGGGAGGACTGGCATCAGAGCCACCCCGAGTAAAAGCACCATAAAAGCTGAGTACTGAGCATGATCCGGGGCTCAGGTTCTCAGTGGAGTGAAGCCTCCTTCTTTCCATTTGTTTTTACTTCACTTTCAAGTTCAGTGTCCTTGAGCCCATGTTGGGACCCCAAGGACTCACCCTCTGTCCTCTTTCCTGATAACCGCCCCCTACAATCTGTTTCTTTGTCACTACAGCTCCACTGTGGCCGCCTGCGGTGCATCCTGGGGAGTGGCCAGAGTGGATCTGGAAACGTGTGGGCTTCTGGGACGTGACCTCTTGGTCTCCAAGGTCGAGTCCAACGCCCAGATGTGTGCACAGTTTTGCTGTTTTGTTTCTAGCTGAATTCAATTGTCTCTTCTCAGCATCTGAGGAGCTGCATTTGGCTATGAAATGAACAGCATGTGACCAGGAGAATAGAATGACGTGCTGAGCTCAGCTTCTCAGCTGGATGGGGTGACGTGGAATGGACGGGGCAGTCTGATAAGGAAGGACCGAGGGCCAGGGAACAACCCACTGAGGGTCAGTTAGGACCCTTAATGGTAGGGAAAAAAATCAGACCATCATCTCTTCTTTGGAAAATGTTGTTTTCAAAATCAAAGGCCCTTCAGCAACTCTTGCCAGCATGGGCTCTTACTTGCTACGTGTCCTTATTATGTAAAGATGTCCCAGCGGCTCGGGAGGCTGAGACAGGAGGATTGCGAGTTCAAAGCCAGCCTCAGCAATGGCGAGGTGCTAAGCGACTCAGTGAGACCCTGTCTTTAAATAAAACACAAAATAGGGCTGGGGATGTGGCTCAGGAGTCAAGTGCCTCTGAGTTTAATCCCTGGTAATCCCCCCACCCCCAACAAAAAAAAGAGATGTCTATTGGGTTTGCTGCCTTTTTCTCTTGTTAGAATCTTTGATTCTCATCCCCAGGCTCAAGTTGCAGTGAAGTCATGGAGAGCTGAGTCTAATGGCTCAAGGGTCTGGAGTCTCATGGCTGAGCTGAGAGCCCTGTCTCTTTCCACCCAATTCAAAAGAACACTGAGGAGTCAACATGGCGTCCAGTAATTAGTTCCTGATTTTCTGAGGAACTTGGAGCCAGAAAATCTTGCAAATATTCCCCCAACTTGGAAGATGGAGAAACAAAAGAAGACAGGAGCCCCTTGCTGCAAAGCTGGAAGACCAGAGAGGGCTGCTGCTCTAGTCCCCGAGAACAGCAGACCAGGACAAAAAAGGGGAAACCCTCATCCAGGCCATTTTAATAACTCCAGAGGCTGGATAAAGTGAATGGAAACAGGGAAGATTTAGGAGCAGTAAGTGGGGCGCAGGGGCACCTTACGATCTCAGGGACTTGCTCGTGCACCCTGCTCCTGTCTGAGGGAGGACTCAGTCCCTCTGGCCTTGGGAAGCAGAGCCAGGGGAGTTGTTGTGACTTAGCTCCCACCACAGGTGACAGCCATCTTTACTGAGCTCCTGTTGAGCGTGAGGCAGGCCCTGCGCCACTTGTTTGGGCCTCTGCTGTCGTCTGAATGTTTGTGTCTCCCCGAATTCATGTGCTAGGCTCCTCCCCCCACGTGATGAATTAGAAGGAGGTGGTTAGGACACAGGTGGGACCTTCGTGAACACGACCAGTGCCCTCGTTAAAGAGGCCCTGGAGCTCTCTTCTCCTGCCACCCAGGGAGGACTCAACAGGGTGCTTCTCTAGGGAGGTGGCACCTTGATCGCAGGCCTCCCTGCCTCTAGAGCGCTAAGCCCCCAGTCGGTGGTCTTTTGTCACAGAAGTCCTGGTCGACCAAATCAGCCTCACCCTAAGGTGACCTGAACAAGGTCATCAGAGAGCCCAGCATCGGACGGAGCTGGCACAAATGAACTCTACACAATGAGCCACAGAGGGTCAAGGGCCTCGTCCCCCAGGGTCCCCAGGGCAGCTTCGGCACAAATGAACTCTATTCCCTTCAAGCCTGAGTCACTGAGTCTGGGAGCAGCTGAGCCGATTGAGGCCCAGGGATGCATGGGTTTTGTCTGGAGGCCCTGAAGTTCCCTTAACCTACTTCAGACCTGTGTTCATGTGACCACAACCCCCAGGGCAGCTTCTAGGATCAATCCAGGCTCCCCCCTTGTCCTTGGGGCTAGGAAGGAAGCTATCAGGCACTGCCAAGGTGGCAGTCAACCTCCGTGGAACCCTTCATTGAGACCATGAAGAGAAGAACAGGCCTGCAGTCTTCTAGCCTTAGATGTATATGCTGTTTACTAGACAGTCTTTTTCCAAAGTCAATCAAGGTGAAAAGTTTAAAAGCTTTGTATTATGATATTTTCCAAACATAGAAAGTTAGAGAGAATAGTTAAATGTGCCTTCATTTCTCAGGCTTGGCAATTATCAACCTATTGCCAATTGTGTTAGTCAGCTTTCTATCACTGTAACAAAATGCCTGAGAAAAATAATTTATAAGGAGGAAAGGTTTATTTTGGCTCATGGTTTCAGACCATGGACAGTTGGTCTGTTTTTGGGGTGCCTGTCATGATGAGAGTGCTTGGTGGGAGAAGCTGCTCAACCCATGGTGGCCAGGAAGCAAAGGGAAAGAGTAAGGGGCCAAGGTCCTATAACCCTCTTAGGGGGAATCCCCCAGTGAGCTAACTTCCTCCCTCTGGGCCTCATCTGCTAAAGTCTCCACCACTCCCAATAATGCCAGGCCTCCAGCACTTAGGAATTTGGGGGACACCCAGCTCCCCTATCCCAGCCCACTCCTTTATTTGCTATGGTATTTTAAAATGAATCCCAAACAGCATGCCACTCCGTCCATTAATAAAGATGCATCTGTGACTTCCTGGGACCTTGTTTCCCAACATCACCACTAATAAAACCAATGCGAAATCCTTCACGTCCAATAATGCCCAGCCCCTGCTAAAATTTCTCTTTACAGATCACTGGGACGGATCAGGACCCTAACAAGGTCACACTGAGTGTGTCTCTGCTGTCTCTCTGTCTCCCTTCCCATGTTTATGCAATTGATTCGTTGGGTAAATGCATCCTGTAGACTTGGCTTAGATTTTTTTTCTAGGGACAACTGGGGGGTGGGAGGAGAACACCTGTGTGTTATGAACGTGCCCCGTGTGTATCGTCAACTCTCAAATGCTTCTTGGGGACACAGAAAGAGGCCCACACTGTCTGCGAGCGATTTGGCAGAACGTACTTAGAACTATCTACATCCTTTTCTGGTTTTTTGTTCTTAGGAACCCATCCCCCCTAATCAGACACGTGACTGGTTCTGCATGTGGACACCTGCTACGTCTTGACTTTTAATGATAAAAACCTTCTGCAACTGTGACATCAGAGACAGGGCGTGACTCGGGGAAGCAGTTGTGGAAATGGTCCACAGTCACATCCCAAAGCCTCAAAGTGCACCTTCCCTGCAGTGGCCCATCTCCACACGCCACGTTCCAGGGCATGACGTGGCTCCTTCATGTTTCCGCCACCTCTTTCTAGGACTTTCTGTTCACGGCTGCCCAAAACATTTCAACTGCTCTGATAGCCATCGGTTATTCCTTCATCCGACAAATACTTCATGAGGAGGTCCCCGCCAGCCGAGCCATCCCGAGGACACCCTCTGACTCTGCTTCTCTCCACTGAACACCTTCTCCAGTCCCGAGGGCTCTGGACACACAATGCCGTCTGCAGCTAAAGTTCTGTGAGCCTCCTAAAGGCCGATTAAAGGTTTAATATGCAAAGGTCAAGTGTTTGCAGTTGGAACTGACTTCCTCTGGGAAATCGTCACCTTCCGTGTTGGGAGTGCCGGGCTGTGGGGTGCGGGGTGGGGGGAGTGTTGCTGGGGCAGTTGAAGGTGTCAGGGTCTCGGTGTTTCTAGGTTTTAGACACTGTGCATGGCGTGGGGAGAGTCGGTGCTGCCCTCC